AAATTCATAGGTACTTCTGATTTGGGTTATTATTCTACATTAAGCAAATATCCTTGTTCTATAGAAAATATATACAGTGGTACTTAAAAATTGGGGAAGGATGCATTATGTCTTCAATCTACACTCAAATGATTTTTTAATGTGTACAGATTGGGGAATAAAATATAGCCAAACATTAGCATTTGGAAATAAGGGCACAACATCAGACATCATTTTAACATATTCATCATTGTAGTACTAAACACACACTTACACATATACAGTGCTCTTTCTCCTAGGAGGTAAAAAAAATCATGTAAGGCGGTAATGATAAGCTTATTGGCAATATTAAACTAACATACACCAACAATAAACTAATCATATGTGAATTAAAATACTAATATTTTTAATGCTTGTAATCACCACACAGCTTTTACAAAACCTAAACTAGGACTTATAAGACACCAAGAAACTCAGTCTAATTATGTTTCCAGCAGCAACATTTCAGACAACATATATTTCTTTGCTTTTCTGAGGCACATTTTTCTTTGTAAAACAAACACAAAGGCCTATCAAGGACATTAGTTTAAACTAAGTTTCAATCCCAAACACAGATTCAGAGGCTGGATCCCAAAGTCATTTAACACCTAGACCTATCTTTCTTTCAAGATTCAACAAATACAGCAGAGTTGAACTGTAAACATGAGGTTAAGAAAACACTCATTAGGCTGAGGGGCAAAGGCCCACACGCCCAGCTGTCCAGGAGGCTGCGACACGGGTTCAAATCCAGCCCAAGCAACACAGCAAGGCCATCTAACGTGCACAAATGGACAAAGAATCCTACCGACTTTATTAGTTTCTTTTTAACATATGGAAAAATATGTAATATACAAATAATTTTAACATAAAGACATCCTAAGCTAGATTTCGTTATGCTTCTTCTGACAAAAGCAGTCGTTCTATGCATAGAAAGAGAGAAAAAAATGAAAGAAAAGAAAAAAGAAAAGAAAAGAAGGTAGGAGAAAAGAAAATGTTCTGCCTTGGACGCCTACAATTTAGATCATGGCACACTCTTCCAGACCATTTCAACTGTAACCAGAGTAAGTAAACCTCTAGTACTAACATCACTGGGAGAAGTGTCTTATTTTTCACTGCTAGCAATTCATTTGTAAATTATTGTACTCTCAAAAAACATAAAACAAGCTGGGCATGGTGGCGCACACCTGTAATCCCAGCACTCTGGAGGCTGAAGCAGGAGGACTGTTGCGAGTTCGAGGCCAGCCTGGGCTACAAAGTGACCTCAAGGCCAGCCTGAACTGCACAGCGAGATCCTGTCTCAAAAAGACAAAAATAAATGAATAAATAAATAAAGCAATTTGAAAAAACAAAAACAAAAAAACACCTAGTTTTCAATTATGCTCCAAGTTAATAATGTCAATGCTTTCCAGGTGCAGGAAGAGTCTCCAAGATGTAGCAATGGAATGGCCACACAGGAATATAAGCTCAGAACCGTGGTCCACAGGTCAAGTAACTGCCAACACAAGGAAAGGAGTCTTGAAATCTCTCTAGAATCTCTGCCCCAGGAAAGGCAATGAGAAGGCACTCAGCAAGAGACAAAATCTTCTAGGTAAAAAAAGAAGGTAGGTATCTCAGTCAGGTCCAGACCAACAGGTTTTAAAACTAAAACTCAAGATGACAGAAATCAGCCAACCCCCACACAGCTCAAAGTCTGACATACTGATGAATTAAAAAGATGCGAGAGAACAGAAATTAGGAAATTTCTCTCTTAAATTCCCTCTTCTCAGAGTTGCCAGATGAAGCAAAAACGCAAAACACCAACCATTACTCCATTATTTCTTTTCTTTTTTTCTTTTTGGTGCTAGCGACTGAACCCTGGGCCTGGCATATGCTAAGCACATGCTCTACCGCTGAACTAAGCCCCCAGTCCTATCACTTCTGAAGAGCAACTCCTGAGTGATAAAAACTTGTTTTCCCAAATTTAGGAAGGAAAATTAATATTCACCACCCAAATACAACACAGAAGTGAGGAGGGGGAGTATGGGATGGGATGAGAAAGACTTAAAATAACAGACTGTATGCTGAGGAAAAACTGCAAATTTTGTTTTGGAAGAACACCAAGATAGAGAAGTGGAACATCACATAAAAACAGGTAACTATTATTACTTACACAGTCGGTGCCACTGTGCTGAATGACTCGTAGGCATTACTTTATTTGCTTGAAAAGCCCTAAGAATGCTGTTATTCTCTTTTCAAATGGGGAAACTGAGGCTTAGGGAACCTAAGACACTTGATCACAGACATGTAACTAATTAAATGAGTAAGAAAGAATCTTAGAAATTCAAAGGTGGCCTGGCGTGGTGGCGCACACCTGTCATCCCAGCACCGGGGAGGCTGAGGCAGGAGGATTGTTGTGAGTTGGAGGCCAGCCTAGGCTACAAAGTGAGCTTAACGCCAGCCTGAACTGCATAGGAAGACCCTGTCTCAAAAAGCAAAAAAAAAGAAATTCAAAGGTGGAGGAGACTCATTCAACCAAACCCAGTATTTTATGGAGAAGAAACTGAACCCCTAAACAGATCAGACATTAAAATATTAGCAGAGTGACCTGGGCAAGAAGACAGTTCCAAGTCCATCTCTCCCACTCTGTACATTAAAATTCCATCCTAACTTGAGTTTAATAGAACTTAACATGTTTTTCAAAAAATTATGAGCAACAGAAACAGGGAAATCATGTCTACATATGTAGTCTTAATAAACACTTTTTTAGTCACACATACTTTGATGTGTTGTATTCATTTTTACAGAAGAAAAGGTATCTCAATTTAATAATTTCCTAATGTTGATATCCTTCATATGCACAGAAGGTAATAACTAAACCTAAAGTCAAAGAAAGGCAGGGCTAAACACAAAGTTGTTTTAAAAATCATTTCCAAATTTATTATATTTTTTCTCCTCAAGATGACATAATAGAAAAATATACAATGAAAGCTATAAAAACATCGTACTATTTCAGGAGTCTCAAAAAAAGGATCGTTTGTGCCATCCTGATCACCTACAAAGAGAATGAAACTGCTACACTGTCACAACAGAATGAAATGTAACTCCCCCAGAGTCAGACAATAAACAGCATCTCTATTAAGTGATGACAGTCACTTTAATTCCATTATCTAAGAGTAAAAAATAAATTATGCAGCTGTACTGTGTGTGTACTACACACTGTCCTAAGTCCTTGACCTATGTTAACTCCTTTAATTTTCACACTTCTCTATGGCACAGTGTATTTTCCAGTTTACAGATGAGCAAAGCTGAGGTACTGAAGTTGAATGGCTTGTCTAAGAGTCACATGGACCAAATGGCAGGCTGGGTCTCTATCTAGGTGGTCTGTTTCCTTGCTCGCCAGAAAATCTTCACCTCAGCACCTCTATGTCTCTGGTTTTTGGCACCTGGTCACCCACCCCACTCCCCATCCCCACCCCGCCTGCCTCCTCTCTCTAAGCTACCACAGTATACATTTCATTCTCCCCCTCACCAATCCTACCTACACTTTTGGTCATTTGAGGTGCTGCGGATCGAACCCGGGACCTTGCATAGGCCAGGCAATTGCTCCACAACTAAGCTACATCCCCAGTCCCACAGCGCTTTTACAAATCCTTCCCACACTGACTTTTGCAAACCTAAATTCCCTTTCCATTTCAACAAGTTACAGAACTGTACATATGCACACTTACAAAAACGGCTACCACTAATGTGACATATACATGCTAGATAAAACGCCAAAATCCTTCTCAGAATTTCAGTTAGAAAGAAAGCGTAGTGAGACCCATTTTGTTGATAAAACTGAGGCTCAAAGAGGCTGAATATTTTGGCAACGTTCTCACAACCAAGAAAAGACACGGCAAAAGACACATACACCTGTATATCTGAAAAGCTCCTACCCTTCGTGTATATGTACACGTTTCCCAAGGACACCTTATAGATATCGTTTAAAGCATCTAGCTACTACACTATTCTTTTAGGAAGCATTTCTTCAACAAATGACTTCTAGGAAAATCATTAGGAAGACAGCAATGACTATTTCTTAATAGTTTCTAATACAATTGACCAAAAACAAATTATAATATCTTTAATTATTAACTTATGGATTCAATTACATTCAGATGGTCCCTCCCTCAAAAAAAAAAAAAGTGATTTAAATCTATTAGGTAACACTATTCAGCACAACTGGAACCAAGATAATTTTCTGACTCCTTGACTACTTCAAACACTAACCATCAGAGGACTCACCAAAGAAAAGGTTTACTATAAATTGTTTTGCTCTGCCATCAGTTATTTTAAAAATCTTTCTTAGCCTTAGGGAAATAGCAACGTGACATAATCCCTGATTCCCTTTGCTAAACTTAAACCAATCTCACCTGATTTTTTTTAACCCATTTATGAGCATATTATAAATGCTCATTACATAAACACCCCTCTTCCTGGATACAAATTTCCAGCAGCAGTTTTTAATCCCATGGAATATTATAACGGCCCAAATAATGACAAGCAGATGAAACAAATCTGAAAAAATATTTCAACCATCGGTACTGGATAAAATACAACAGCTGTTACCTGACACAGCCGGTTACTACGTTTCTCCCAGCATATGCCACACCTTCTAGGTTGACAAAAGCAAAAACCTGTCTGGCTTTTCTTTTTTAAAAATCCCAGAAAAGATTAAAAGAATGAAGAATTCCACCTTCTCCTCCTCCTCTAATACATTCTGCTTTGCCCCCACCCCAACAACGACAGAGGGGAAGGAGTGGGGGTGAGGGTGGTCAGAATACAGAACGCCCGATCGGTCGACCAGCCGGGCTCACCCCAAACTTCACCTTGGCACGGCGAGAAGCAGGAAGGCACCAGGAATTCCTAGGAAACGGCCTCCCCCGAGTCAAAGCACAATTTTAACTTCCTCGAAGCCACCATTTCCCTGGAGCATTATCAACACTCCCACCCGGATATATTACCTAAGAGACTACTTGTAAACCCAGCGCAAACACACACAAAGAAAAAACACCCCTGCTCCGAACGGGCAGCTCAGACTCGCCCGGCGCGCAGATCCCGGGGACGGCGCGGAGATCGATCGCCCCGACGGCGGCTGCAGACGCAGCGCGC